CATCACCACCGCCCTCGTGGATCCCATTGCTAAAACCGTTTTCACATAGTGGTTGATCCATCACCACCCGCCGTGGAAATTTATCCCATTGCTAAAAACCGTTTTTCACGTAGTGGTTGATCTATCTAGAGTTTTCGAACCCAAAACAAAATTGAACCGAAAAACCAATGAATTTGCTCGGTTTTTCGGTCTAAATGTGCCCACCTGAATGACAATTGATGATTTGTGGCCATAATCCAATCGTTTCCTTCCTCCACAATCAGTTGTACTAGAGATACTAGAGTCTTTACCTCATTGTGAAAAAACTACTAATTTTTTTCCTTCCAAATCCTCCACACGATTAATAGAACCAGGGGATCAACTTGACCCGGGGGGTGTTTGATCCAGGGACTAAAGTTTAGAAGGTGTCATATGGGGATGTCGCATGGGGTGTTCGGATATTAATAAAAAAATAAATTACAGAATTTGTCAGTAATCCACGAGATGAATTTATTAAGCCTAATTAATCCGTCATTAGCACATGTTTACTGTAGCACCACATTGTCAAATCATTTGACTAATTAGGCTTAAAAAATCTGTCTTGCAAAACAGTCTCAATCTGTGCATTTAGTTTCGTAAATAGTCTATATTTAATACTTCCATGTATGTGTCCAAACATCCGATAGGACAGCGACTAAAGTTTAGGAGGTGGAACCAAACACCCCAATAACCACCTCCATGATGATGAATAAAAGCACCAGTGACAGCGAATCTCCCTGTCATAATAGTCGCACATGGAAGATTCTATGCCCTGGTCAACCATTCACAAGCAGTTTGGTACTTGCATTGGATCTCTTGAATCCTTCGGAGCACTTCTCATTCTGTCCGCTGCCTCCCTCCCCACACCACCGCACCACCCCTCTCCACACCATCCACTGCTAATTCTCATGTTCCCACTCCCACACCACCCGTTGCTGAGGACTACGGTGCTTGCGTCAGGTCTCCTTCTTAGGGAAATCTCTGCATGATGCCTCCTCGACGTTCGAGGCGAATCCATGGCTTGAGAGGTGAGTTCAGGGAACTAGCCGCCCCCTAAAGCCCTTTGACATCAATTTCCCAATATTGTGAGAAGCCAACATGCTGCAACACATCCAAGAGAAACAACCAACTTACTAAACCAAAAGCCTTGGCAAAGGAGTAACTTCCAAATTGAAGTCAATGCTGATAATTATGGGCGAATTGAGCGTAGTTTAGCTTGTCACATTCTGTGGTGGAACCTGCCATATGGGTTCAAATTCTTGACTTATGTGGGTGCTAGCAATTTTCTAGATTTATTACGAAATTTAATGACATTGTGCGCGTCGACAGCAATGCATCTATAGTGCTTTCATCACTCAATAACTGCCTTTTTTTTAAGGTGTACATAAGAGTAGGTTATATGAGTGCATTCATAGGGTGAAGTGTATGCATGTTAGCATGTATATAAGTGTTTGTTTGTACTGCGTGATTTGCAAACAAAATGATGATAATTAGCGGCAAAGTTGAGTAACTATTTAGGGATCGTAGAAGACTGAAGACAAAGCCGGGTGTTTAGTAAAAAGAAGTGCTAAAATGCAAAACGGTGATGGCCTTGTCTCACGTGTGAAAGGACCAAGAATGGAGCTTGGCACGTGCCAACACTCTTTTCATGACATGTCCCCACCCAACTGAATCAAGCATACAAGGAGTTTTAAATGTGACGGCACGTACGACACTTGTTTAAACAAATGTGCTGTATTTATAGATCATGTCTGAAGTCTGATGAGGATATATTGGCGAAAACGTGAAGACTCGAAGCGCTTCAGGCTAAAAATTCAAGTTCCTTCTTTTTAAAGCATATGTTAATATTAGCTTGTTTAAAGTAAACTGCGATGGTGCTTTCAACGCTGAAACCAAGGTGGACGGCTGGGGCTTATTGTCGTCGTCTGATGGAGACGCTAGACGGCGAGGTTCTGCTCTGGTAGGGAGAGGATTGAGCATCTGATCGACACCTCACAAGCAGAAATCATTGCAAGTCTAGAAGGAGCGATGCATTATGAGTTACTCCCTCCATCCCATAATAATACAAGTTTGGAACCTAAACAAAGTCAAGAGTTCGACGTTTAAATGACACCGGGCGTTTTAAATGTGACGGCACTTACGACACTTGTTTAAACAAATGTGATGTATTTATAGATCATGTCTGAAGCCTGATGAAACTATGAGAAGTTTTACGTGAAGACTCGAAACTAGTTGTAGGCTAAAATTGGAAGTTCCTTCTTTTTGTCCCATATGTTAATCAAGCTACCTGATGTAATCTGCGATGGTGCTTTCAATAGTAATTACCGTCCGCGTGGACAGTGTTGGGCTTATCATCGTCGTCACCGGATGGATAGCATTTAATAAAAGATGTAACTATAGGTTCTGTGGTAGGGAGAGGATTGAGCATCTTTAATTAAATTTATAATAAAATCATTAATAATATCTATGTCTTCAGATGCATTACGAGAATATATGTCCGTCCCATTTAATAAGTAGTATTTTAATATACCTAAACAAACTTTTAACCGTTTGATTTTATTAAAACCGTCATAACCGCATATATATTTAAAGAATTTGAGATCTGAATGAAACCACTGTCGCATGTTTCGTGGACAATTTCCTTTTAATTAAAAAGTTTGAGAAGTTTTACATGTTATCCTGTAAAGCTAGTTGTAAGATCTTATATTGGAAGGTTGTACCGAGTCCCTGAGTTTAATCAAGCATCGTCCTGATGTAATCCAAATGCATATGATGATTTGGACATCAAACAAGTTTTTACCAGCTACAACTACGACTTCATCCTCTATTTGTTATATGTCCAAAAAGTAGGACAGTAGGAGTTGTGCCAGAGCGCGGCGACGGCTTTTGCGTCCGGTGGTTCAATTGTCAGTACAAAAGGTAGGTTAATTATTATATGAAAAAACTAGTAAAAACTTTATTTGAGGGTTTGAGGGATTGAAAAGAGAGAGATTGATAAATTCCAATTAATTATAGACAAAATTAGCTTTTTTAATTAATATAAATGCTACCAATTTATGTTTTGTCAACCTTGTTCACTAGCATTCTATGTTCACTTAAAACTTATTTACTCATGTGGAGTTGGGAAAAAAAGATTTTCCATTTTATCATTTACTAGCATTTTTTTGATTCAAGAACGAAATAAGAAAAAGATTATCTCATTGTACATCAAAGACTACCTACTATAGATAATCAAAACCTCATATCTCACTGTGGTCCACCATTTATATCGGCATATATGGCTAAAATAAAGGTTTTGGAAATTCATGCTTTAACATGATGACCAGTATTCCTAGTTGATCCAGGTGTGTTGACTCCATGCACTTCTCATATATATTTGAGGGGTGATCTAACTTTTTTTATATTTGCAATTGGTAGAGCTTATCATAAGAGCAAGGCTAATAATACAGCCGACTGCTAGCTATAAGGGTTCTTTGTAGCCTTCTCTCAGTCCACCCATATGGTAGTTAGCTCTTCACTATTAATACATGGCACACTTGTATCTCTCACAAAGTTTCTCGATTCTTATGCCTAAGCCGGCTGTAATCTTACAGTCCGCTTCTCCTCTCTCTCCTCTCTCTCTCTCCTCCACCTCAGTATTTAGCCAGCCTACAGCCTCTTATTATACTTGCTCTAAATATGCTTTTGGAGAGACACCAAAGCTTTACTTAAATGGTACATGCTCCATCTTTATAGTATATGGTACATGCCTATCGTTTCAGTACATGATACATGCTTCTGTGATGAAGCCACTAGCCAGTATATGACATTAAACATTTTAGGACCATCTCATATGAATACATACATACTCTCTCTGTTTCAAGTCGCTTTGATTTTTTTTTACATTCATTCATTTTGTTATGTATCTAGGTACAATGTATATCTAGATGCATAGCAAAATAGATGTACCAAAAAACTCAAAGCGACTTATAATTTAAATGGAGTACTATTCATTTCCTTAACTAGATGTACAAACATCATAGGTTATTGCTTTTTATCAGGTTATACTCAACTGTGACTTTTGAGCTCTTTTTGCAATGTTGAAGATTATTTCTAAAATTTTCAATGCTCTTTTTAGTGGCAAAACTGATGCAGAGGTGTCTCAACATGGAGCTGAGGAGCACCTGAGGAGCGGAACGTGGAGCTGGTGGAGATGCGAAGGGACAGGAAAACTGATTTTATTTGAATTAATTTATAACTTAAATACTCTACTAACCATCCTTGAGAATATAGGGTCATGTTCACTTGTTTTATAATCCGTATTTTCAGCTTGTTTTTTCAATCGAAACAGTGTTTTTCTCTCACAACAAATCAGTCGGAACAGTATTTCAGCTTGTTTTTTCAGCGAAACGAACGGGGCCTATAATGCGTGGACAATTGGACAAGGCTGTGATCTATGTTTTGCATATTGGAATCACGATCCAATTATTTCCTTTGACTATGCGAGTTCCATTGTGTTGCATTATGAGAATATAATCATGAATGGTTAATATGATTTTTTTTATCACATATAATTGTGTCACCGTGGATGCATGAATATCGTCCATAGCAATGCACAGGCAATCACGATATAGACACGTGCGTATCCCACATCCACTAGTTACAGTAATTAAAAAGGATTGGTTTTGTTCATTATCGATAGCTGAAAACGGAGGATCAGCCCAGCGACGGCGATGGTGGTACGCTGAGAGTATACAGGCAAGTCATCTAGTCTTTCCACGACAGCTATGTTCAACTAGAATGGCAATGACGTACTCGTACATGTACGTGTATATATATATGTGGGCGCCCACGCACACTTCACATTTCATGTAAAAACAAACGGATACTCCAACTCCAACTCCAACTCCAACAGGCGTTGCGTGAAGAATTCAGAGTCAAAGCGAAGAAGTTTCCGGCCATCCTTCATCGCGCGCCGGCCCAGCTCCATCCAGCTCTGACCGTCAGCTCCATTGGCTGAACCAGACTGACCTCGGCGACGACGACGACCATCCGAGTCGGTCGGGTACGGTCAAGTCCGAGCCAACAGGGAGGAAGAGTCCCTGACCGCGCACATGCCCGTCGTCTGACCGTCCCTCACTCAACGACCCACTGGCACTGAGTGACCGGATCTGAAACCGGAAGAATTCAGAAGTGGGCAAAGTTCAGTCGCAAGGATTTGACCAGGGCTTTGGGCAATTTCTGTGAAAATCGCTGCAATCCATCCGTCAGAAATTCAGGGTTGCAATGCCACAAGGACAGGTTTACGACAGATGGGAAAACCTTTTGCTTGCCCAAGAGCTGAGCTGCAAACCCATATGCTCCAGAAAACACTCCATTCAGTAGTTCCAACACAACACCAACCGTGCAGAACCAGCGTTCTGGCACGTTAACACCAGTTACTAGTGAAGAACACAAGCAGGGATATTTAAGGATGCACCTTACATTACAATTAATTGGTCCTCAGTTCATCCCATTCTTGAAGGGTACTATTCAGAGACGTGCTTACTGTCACTGCATATTTGTGTGTACAATAGATATTACGACCGAACATTAAGTTAATTAACTAAACTAAGCAGATAATGGGCCCAATTACAGACCCTTTTCACAGCTGTCCCACCCTACCTCTCAACATATATTATTGTCTCTATATATTATTATATACTTAGCTACCATGCCAAAGCCGATTAAGGTTACTAAGCAGGAACATTAGCACTGCTCCTGAGCCCTGATTGCTTATGAGGCACAAAATAGCCCAAAGCAGCATGAGATGAGATCATCAGTTCACATGCTTCTAAGACCCTCTCGGCTGGGGACAATTAGCCTGCCTGTGACCGACCATGCCGCGACGGAAACAGGTACTTCGGGAAGATCGTTTAGGGCAGGCACTGATCCAGTGCCCTTCCTCACCGCATCCGTAGCAGGGGCGCCCGGTCATGGGGCTGCGGCTACCAAAAGGCGTCATGGGCGATGTCGCGGGTGTTTTCGCCATGGCAGTCGGCTGGCACGGCGTGCCTGGTGAATTCTGCTGGACTACAGCACGGGGCGCTGCCTGACCTGTGAGCACGATTTCATTGTTGATGACGTCAAATGGGATTGGCCACTCATCGTCATTAGGTTGAGCAGGATTGGCTGATTCATTACCATTGTTGTCTCCGACTCCAACTGCAGTGTTCCCATGGGCTTCCATTGTATTGTAGTCCCCAACCTGTGGTGGTCCTTTAACAACATCTGTTACTGGCACCTTGAAACTGCATGCACCTTGTCCCTGCAGAATAAACAGTAATGCAGCTGGTCAATTGCATGTAGCAGGAAACATAAAGTTAAAAGTAGCTTAGAGACTCCAAAATATTGGATTGTGATCCCAACATCAAGTTACTGATCCAGAATATGGAAAAGCTAAAAAGTCAAGACAGTATCTCAGAATCAGATCGAAGGAACTGAACCAAGTTTCAGTTGGTGGGAGGTGTGGATGTACACTCCTACCATCCAGGTTCAAGTCCTGTTTGGCTCAAATGTGTGTGCTTATTTCTTCTTGTTTCCAACGCCATCTTTTTCCTCCTAGGTTGGCCAAATCTCAGATGCAAGTTGCGGTTTTGAAATGGTTTAACAATTCTTCACTTTCATAAACAATAATTTGAGGGAATGTGCACACAATAGTAAACAAATCAAAGGGGCAAAAATAGATGATTTTAAGAAAAACTACCTGCCAATTACATCTCAGAGTTATTTCAGATATAGATGTCCGTAATTTAGTAATTTATTTTCTTGATGCTGTCATCTATGTCGTAACACATTGGACAAAAACTGGACTAAACTTGTAGGACGCTTAAGAAATTTTTTCAACAGTATCTAACTTGAATATTATAAGAGTGGAAAAGTCTTAGGATTCAGTATTGATAAATAAGAAATAAAGTATAATATTGTAGCATTCCTATTGGCAGAAAACATAAACTTTTCCTTAAAACAAAAATGGATAACAAACTATTGTAATTTTGTTCGTGGTGGAAAAAACAAAAATCCGGTTCGTCCGTGGTGGAAAAAACAAAAATGGATAGGATTTCTGGCAAACATTCCTAGCGCTCAAATCTGAGTGGGTGGGTGGGGAGATAGGTTAAACAGGCTCTCCACCACCTTAGCTGCTAACTTGCACGTTATGCTACATTGTGCAACTGTAGGATTGCTGGAGCAACTTCACTAAAATATATATTGCTAGGCTGCTAGCAACTTATCTATCTTCAAATTCTCACAGGAAGAGAATCATTCATGCTTTTCTCATTATTTATTTGACTTCTCTTGGGACAAATAAACAAAAGAAAAAACAGTATGATAGTATGATCTCAGGAGCTAAAATATCTAGTTAATAAAAGAACAGCATACCTGATCATAGTTACATAATTTAACCACTAAAACATTTCAAGAGGAACAAAAAAAAGAACAATTACCACAAAAAGCATTACCTTGGGTATAGGACAAACATAGCAGTCTTCGTTGCCCACTCTCAATCTTTTGCACTTCCCTGCTGTACATTGGCAGATTAGCTGTCCATCATTAGATCTATGCCATCGGGGACTTGCTTTAACTGCTGCTGTAGTGCCTGCACCTTGTGGACTAACATGAACTGGAGTCATAGCGCCTGCACCTTGTGGACTAACATGAACTGGAGTCGTAGCGCCAACACCTTTCAAAGTGTAATTAAATGGAGTTGTAGCAACAGCAGCCTGAGGACTGACATTAACTGGAGTCGTAGCGCCTGCACCTTGTGGACTAACATGAACTGGAGTCATAGCGCCAACACCTTTCGAAGTGTACTTAAATGGAGTTGTAGCAACAGCAGCCTGGGGACTGACATGAACTGGAGTCGTCGCGCCTGCACCTTGTGGACTAACATGAACTGGAGTCGTAGCGCCAACACTTTTTGTGTCATTAAATGGAGTTCTAGCAACAGCAGCCTGGGGACTGACATTAACTGGAGTTGTAGCACCAGCACCTTGGGGATTAACATTATTAATTCGTGTTCTAGCATCAGCCACAGGAATCCTTGGAATGCTGAACACACAAGGATTGCTTGGTTTAGGATCACTCCTAACAGCAGGCGGTGATTGTGGATTCTGGTCAACTTCCTCACACATGGCAACATGTTTGCACTTCTGAAAAGCCATGTTCAACAAGTAAATACGTTGTCAATTATATGTTTGTGAGTCAAAAATACTTTGCAAGTTAATTGAAGTTCATTGCATAATGAAGAATAAAACACTCAATTTGTAGATGACTAAAGAAGTAAATACAATGGGATTCAAAGAAACATGCCTGAACAATTGATGAAACTTGAACAAACTTGTATACACAAAGACAAAACTTGCTGCTTCAGGAAAGGATATAATGCAAAAAGAAAAAAAAAGTGAATGCACCTAGAAACGTCACCAAAAAAAACATTGTCTAGGAAAAATACGGGTTCTGATTGCATTTTCCCTAAGTTATGTGTGGGAGCATATTGTAGAAAATGTGAGGATAATGGTTATGAGTTATGACACTAAACCTTAAGTCATAAATATATATATTTTGAAAACCTAATGTGATGACTTACGGATGCCACTGAAGCAGTACAAACTCCAAATTAAGGTTTTCAGGGATTGATTTGTAGTGTATACACTGGGCACATAGAAAACTTGCAACAAGTTCTAGGGTCTACAAAGACATATTCGGCTGATTTCTCCTGCGTGTTCAATAAAAACATATTTAGCTGATTATTACTGCTTTATGTGCATTACATCACTACCCCAAGCATCTATCACATATGGTTGGGTGGTGGTTTGTTAGATGACCTAATATTTAGTGAACAGTGCCACATGTTTTGCTAATTATGGGCCATTAAGCTTCCATGAGAGGTTCTTACAAAAATAGACAGGACAGCACTAGAGACTACATTTCATCTAACAATATACCATATTGTTGGTTCTTACGCATACTAGAAGCCTAGAATGTCTCCAACATATAAAAATGATACTCCTTTTACTTCATATTTTAGGAGTAAAAATTTGATGTCATGTTATAGAACTGCAAGAGACACTGTCCCAAATGCTTATATCTCACTGGGACTGGGTACATACTAAACTACTAATACAGTGTCTCACGAGACAGAAATGTGCTCAAATCAGTACAGTATGATAGATAGTTCCGGAGACAAATAGATAGTTCCGGAGACAAACGATTCTGATGAGTTAGCAAAAGACAAAAATTCAGTAGGGCCATGCATCTTGTGATGTTTTTAATAAGTGTGCTACTGATCAAAAATCTCTTCTCTGAGCAAAGATTCCACGTGGTCACAAGCAATAGTAACAGATTCCAAATCTTCTGGGATGAAGTCATAAGAGGGTACGGGCATTGACACAGGAGACACAAGGTGTTCTGTTCAATGAGTATAGTAGTTTAAAGTTAACCAAGGTTGGATACTTACGTGATGCAGTTTCAGTGTTTCACCAACTCAACTGCTCTACAACAGACATGACAGACATTATGATTTTTCAGCCAGAAGCTTGAATAATGTGATTCTCATACCCGCTTGCAAACTTGTAATAACAGCAGAAGACAACAAGAACTTCCTCCATGTTAAAGTAACAGACTATTGCTCAAAAAAGTGCCAGACAGCTAGCTGGCCAAACGCACAGATCCTATGCTAAACTTAGTAATAAACTAATAATAACTATCGTCACAAAAATGGTTGCCATAATCTGCACAAGAAAAATTACTTTATCCAAGTTCTACATTAAAATTACGACACTAGTGATGGTCTGATGGATGGGTAAATTCTCCATCAGGCTGAAAATCACATCTGAAGTTCTCTTTGCAGGCAACTGGGAAACCTGACCCTCAATTTCACCCAAATTGGCCGAAAGCGACAGGTTACTACAAAATTGGGGCCAGGCAAACTGCAATTTCCCCTGGACCACTACATTCCATACAAGTCACCAACCACAACCAGAACCGCTGTTTACTCAGAAAAATGAAGCAGCTTGGGCATCGTCAAGCCAAGCATGCCCCTGCAAGAGCTATTGAAGCCAAAACAATGGTCCCTGCAATCCAGCATTCAACTCCCCCCAACTGTAACGTCTTCAAATCCGCCTCTTTTATCCTAACACATTTCACTAACACGATTCAAGAACCGAAATTTCCCCCATCTAAACAGTGAAACGCAGACGTAAGTTGGAGGTGAGTGGGGAGGCTGACCGGTTGCGATGAGCAGACGTACATCCACCGGCCGCGTTTGTTGTCCCGCTGCACCGCGCAATCGCCGCGCCTGCAGACGCACGGCGGGGCGCGTCGCTTGGCCTCGTTATAGCCCCGCTCAATGTCATCCACAGCGCTGAGAATGAAGTCGTCGTAGTCGTCCTGGTCGCCACCGGCGCCTGCGCCGGCGTCGGCGTCCGCGTCCGCGAAGTCCAGCTGCCGCCTCACCGGAGCGCCGCGGAGGGCCACCGCCGGCGCTGGATGAGGGGGAGGGGAAGCAGGAGGGGTGGGAGGGTGGCAGGAGCCGCCGCTCTCCGGGTAGGGGTCGGCGGTGGTGCTGCTCATTGCCGCCTCGCCTTGGCCTTCTTCTCTCGCCCCCGCCGCAGACGATCACATCTGCTCTCTCTCTCTCTCTCTCTCTCTCTCGGGAAACTCTCCTCTTTGCCGTTGGAAATATGCGCAGAAACGCTAGCACTAAAATACTTTCCCAGGTATTGGGCTTTCAGGTTTTTTTTTTCTGTTTTTATCACCAACGTCCATTTTGTGTACTTCGAGAAAAAGTAACACGTTGAGGTGTAGGAAATAATTCTATAATATTTTTTTACATGACGTAAATATTTTCCCAAGTTCCTTGTGCTTTGTTTCGTATCTAAATTTATGATCATAGGTGATAGGTTAACATTCGGAGTCAAGATTTTACTAGTTCCAAACTTCTTCAAAAGCAACCCAACCAAAGAGGTATATACTGCAAATCTTGTTTTTCAATAAAAACTACTTTTGTGCTTTGTTTCGTATCTAAATTTTCATCAGCGGTGATAGAGTAAGAGATGTTTCCACCGGCTGTGGAAAACCAAAGTGAAAGTTCACGAAATTACTACCCTGACACTGACTATGAAGCTATTGTTTCGTTTTTTAAGTTCTTTCCATGTCTTATAAGTAGGAATCACGAAGGTGTTTGGCAAAAATAAGTTACTTTTTTCACTTTTAAACTTATAAGTAGGTGACTTAGGAATCGAACGGGCCCTAACATTCGGAGTCAAGATTTTACTAGTTCCAAACTTCTTCAAAAGCAACCCAACGAAAGAGGTATAACTCCACCTTGTTTTTCGGTAAAAGCTACTTTTGTGGTAGTACAAAGGTTCACAGCGGAGTAAGAGATGTTTCCACCGGTTGTGGAGTTGTGAAAGTTCACGAAATTACCCCTGACACTGACTATGAAGCTATCGTTTCGTTTTTTCTGTTCTTTTCCATGCCTGGTAGGAATCACGAAGGTCTGCGAGCATCTCTGGCCGCCACGGCCACCCCCTCTGCCCGTCGCCGCCGTCCCAAGCTCCAAGGCGCGGGCGAGCGCTAGCTCCGCTGCCGCACGGGCGAGTGCTAGCTTCGACGCTCCTCGCCAAAGCACTTGAGGAAGAAATGCGTAGAAAAAAGAATAAATATGTATTGGGTGAATGATATTTGGGGTCACGGATGATATGTGGGGCTAACGATAGCAATTTTTCATGAAGCCACACTTATTAACCAAATGGCTTTGAGCTTTCTCTAAACCCACAACCAACAGCCCACATCTTACAGCAACTTTTTTAGAAGCCAGAGCGAGCCTAATTGTGGGTAGTGCCCAGAGAGCGTCTGGCCTATCTTGCACAGGTCTAACGTCTAGAAAGTCCCCAAAAGAAGTCCGGACCCTTACATATATAGCTTTAGATGGCCGGGTAAAATATATTGTGGGAGTCCTACTCTTCAGCCGATCTTGATAAGAGCATGCCCAACCCTGACATACGTTGTTGTTAGCCTTGAGAAAAAAATGCACTCCACCTAACAATCACTAGATGAAGCCAAATGAGCCTCAACGCATTACAACGTTTTCTGTTTTTACCACAGTACACACCTGTCACTTTCACCGTCCTTTCAATCAGATAGTCCCTAACACAAAGCTTTGTATTGAGCTTTCTTCCTCTGTCAACACATACTCCATTGAGTGCTTGAAGTTCTAGGTGCCTCTGCAAGCTACTTTGAACCCTTGTAGAGACACCAGCCGTAATGTCATGGAAACTCGGCGTCGATGTGGAGCTTGGGGCATATGGACAGCGTGGTGCGTTGGGGCTGCTCTAAGGTACCTTGCTTGCGTCATTAGGTCCACCATGCCCATTGTTTGTTGTTGTATTTGCGTAGGGTGAGGGTCATTGTGCCGGTTGTTTATTTAATTTGCAAAGGATTGGTACTTATCCAACTGTGCAAAGTGTTTTTGTCCATAAAAGAATGCAATTTGGAGTTTAGAGTCACTGAAAAATATATCATGAAAATAATAGGTGTACTTAGAAAATATATTCTATAATTTTTTTTATGACAGAGAGAGTACAAATCTCTAACAAGTCATTTAGACCAAGGACCTCGTGGCCTCGCTTTGCATAAAGCATTATGGTCTTGCTAGGATTACTAGCTTTACAACACAGAGTTCCAACGAAAAAAAGCGCGAAAAGAAACTGAAGCTGACTCTAGCTACACATCTCTCTAGTTCTCTCTCTAAACACCAACAGAAGGCTCACACCGCGTTACGCAAAACAGGAAACAACTTAGGGCACGATTTGGTTACGGGCCAGAGTATGCCAAGTAAAATTAGCTTACTCAGAAAAAATTGGCCACCGTTTGGTTCTACACTTAGATTTGATCATCTAGGAAATTTTTGCATGCGTTAGCTACATTCGACTGTGGACACGGGCACTCGCGCGATCAAGGCAATCAGCGGAAAGTGAGAGGGGTAAATGGAAGAAGAGAGTGGCCGCAGGAGGAACAATACGGGAGATGAGCCTCTCCATGAACCAGCGGCGCCACTTCATCCATTGGCGTTGCATCCCGTTTGAGAGGCGAGAATTCTTTCAAGCTATTGCATATGAAAGTTGAATGGTTTCCTCTGGAAATCCTGGAAAAATGCTTTTGACAGGATGCATGGAAATGATGGCCATGTAACTAGCGGATGTAAATGGATATATGGATTCTCATTGTTCATGTTAATACATTTCTGAGTAAGCGCATAGCTAAAAAGTTGGTGGGTGTTACCCTATCAAAGTCCAAGTAGCTAATGATGGGTTATTATTGTCAGCACTTCTGAATTAGCTGCTGGTGCTTGGAGTATTTAGAATTATCAGTTTCAGTTGCTACTGGACCGTGCTAAATCCATCTGCCTGAAACTCTGAATGCTGAACCAGAATAATTCAGAGAACCCACACGCTTGAAACTCTGAATGCTGAACCAGAATGCTGAGTGTTTCAGAAGTTGCCAGAACAGTTGCAACTATCTGACCAGAGTTTGGGATTTTTTTTATGAAAATAGCAGTGATCCATCCATCACAATTGCCACAAGGACAGGTTTACACAAGTTGGCAAAACTTCTTCTCTTGCAGAAAAGCTGGAAACATACTCCAGAAAACACTCTATTCAACAGTTAAACATCACAGTACTAAACGTTAGTTCGGACACGTTTAACACCTGTTGCCAGCCAAGCACGAGGGGTCATGGAGAAGCGAGCAGGCAGGGATTGAAGGATACACATTATAATTAATCCGACCTCAGTTCGTTCAGTTCTTGAAAGGTACCTTTCAGAGACATACTTACTACATATATGTACAATGATATTATGAATTATAACCTACATTAAGTTATTAACTACGCAGGTAATGGGCCCAAACATATTACAGACCAGGTTGAGGACTTTCCAACCACCATAACAAAGGTCCTCTATATTGTATATTTCACTACCATGCCAAAGCCGATTACGGTTAGTAAGCAGGAGCCCTGACTGCTTATGGGGGACACAGACCAGAGCAGCATGAGATCATCAGTTCACCACATGCTTCTAATATCCTACAAGTTGGGGACACACTGTTTTCTGAGCGTGGATTAATGGGACTGCTGGTATCATAAGGTGGCACGGGTGATTCTGTGGGTGCTTCTGATACCATGGCAGTCGTTTCGCACTTCATACTTGGTGATGCCTGATGAACTTCAGCACTTGTCCTTGTTTGGGCTGTGAGTACAATTTCATTATCGACAACTTCAAATGGCCATTCATCATCAGATTGAGAATTGACTGATCCATTTGCACTGTTGTCTTGTGCTTGAACTAGATTGTTTCCATGAACTTCTTTCTCATCACGTTGAGGAGGATTGACTGATCCATTTGCATTGTTGTCTTGTGCTTGATCTAGATTGTTTCCATTATCTTCCTTCTCAACAAGATTGTCCTTCAAATGCTTGTCCCCCCTTGTTCCAGTTTCTGTTGGTTCATTAACAGCAGCAACTACAGGTGCCATGTAACTGCAGGCGCCTGATCCCTGCAGAATAAACAGTAATGTGACGAACATTCATTCCTAACAGCAATACCATATGGGATGTTACTGTGGAGGTCCTACAGTGGATTCTGATAACAAAGCAGGCAATGCAGATTTGGTGCCTAGGGGGCTAGCGCCCTCGTTAGCATATCATGTTGTAATGTTTCGAAAAATAATCACAAAAGCATGTATGTCATAGTATACATAAAGTTAAGTATAGTTGCAACAATTCAGAAGGGCAGGCCTGGTGTAGTGGTGAGAGCTGTCTCACTGAGTCACCAGGTCGCGGGTTCGAAGCAGCCTCTCCATAGATTTTGCGGGGGGAAGGCTTGCCTCGGTTTTTCCCTTCCCCGACCCCACTCATGTGGGAGCCTCCGGCACTGGGTCTGCCCTTTTTATAGTTGCAACAATTCAGTTGAAATTCATCCTAGGGCTGAAACTCAAGTGAGTGAAAATTTAACTAGGCTCTCCGCTACCACCAACTGTAGCTGGCTTGGTATGCTATGTTATGCAACTGATATGATTACAGGAGCAACTTCTTCACTAAAATATACTTTGCTGGTAGGCAGCAGCACATGTTACTTGAAAATTTCACAAGAAGACCAGCATTTGAAGCTTTTTCTCACAATTTAGTTGACTACTTTTTGAGGGGGACTAATACCAAGTTACTAGCAAAAGAAAAAACTGCATTATATATTATATAAAGTATCTAGTTAATAACGGAAAAGTATATCTGACTACTATTGAAAATAATATCAAGGTGCACTAAACCATTTCAAGATAAACAAAAAACTGAATGTGTTTACCATAGGAAACATTACCTTGGGTATAGGACATACATAGTAGTCTTCGCTGCCCTTTCTCAATACTATACACTTCCCTGCGTTACACTTGCAGATTGGCGATTTATCATTAGATCCAGCTCCTTGGGGACTAATTTTAACCACAGCTGTAGCGCTTGGACCTTTTGGATTAACATGAAGTGGAGTTGAAGTACCAGCACTTTGGAAGGTGGAATTAAGTGGAGTTTTAGGAATAGTAGCCTGGGGGCTGACAATATTTGGAGTTGTGGCACCAGCAACTCGGAGATTAACATTATTAATTGGTGTTCTAGGTTCAGCAACATGATTGCTTGAGATGTTGATCACGCAATTATTGCTTGGTTTAGGATGGCTCCTAACAGCAGGTTGTAATTCAGGATCAAGACCTACTTCTTCACACACGGAAACATGGTTGCACTTCTGCAAAGTCATGTTCAACAAGTAAACACTTTGTCAACTATATACACGAAAATCAGTGTAGTTACATGAAAGAACATAAATATTTGTGAGTCAAAATAATTTTCAAGTTAGTTGAAAGACATTGCATAACTGAAGAATGTAAACTTCAGTTTAAAGAAGATAAAGGAAAAGTAAACACAGTGGGATCCATACAGGAGCATCTCTACACAATTGAACAAACTTGTACAATCTTATATAAGGAATAAGCCTGCAGCTTCAGAAAATGATATAATTGAAACAAAAGGCAAATTTATCCAGAGACATCAACAGAAAGCTATTTATCTTGGAAAACTAGGGTTTCTAATTGTATCTTCTACTCCCACTCTGTTCCAAACTCTAAGACATTTTGGCTTTTCTAGATTCATTACTTTAACTATGTATCTAGACTTAGTGTATATGTAACTGCATAGCAAAATTTATGTATCTAGAAAAGCCAAAACATCTTATAATTTGGAATGGAGGGAGTAGAAGATATGTGTGGGGCATATTACAGAAAATGCGAGGACATGGTTATGACATCAAGCTTGTAGTTATAAACTTATGAGTTTTGAGGAACTGACATTATGATATTTGGATGTAATGGGAGCACTACCGTTGCAATTAAGGATTGGAGAGACTGATCTGTAACGAACAATATAACAGCAGGATGGGGTAAACAGAAAGCTTTCATAAGTCATAGAGTCTACATTGTATTACTTGACATCATTTTGGTTGTAGTTGTGACAAAACCTACTACTTTATGTGCCCTACATAAGTGAAGTACACCAAACATTTAGACAAGTAGTGCATATGGTTGGGCGGTGGATAGGTTACCAAAATAGTCATTGATCTAATGTTTTGCTGAAAGGAAGAAAGGAAGTTAATGGTGGCTGTTGCTTGGTAGCATGGGAAAAGGTGGCAACCAATTGATCTAGGTGGCCTGGGTATTCCTAATTTGCAAGTTATGAGCTGGGCATTACAGAGGAGATGGCTATGTTTGAATAAAACGGAGGAAGGACATCCCAATTCAGCCACAAGCTAAAGAAATGTTTGCAATTTCAGTGACCACATATGTTGGGAGCGGCACAAACACCATGTTTTGGACAGATCGGTGGTTATGTGGCAGTTCTTTACTTGATCTTGCTCCAGCAATAGTGGCTTGTGTATCCAAAAGATCCATAAATCTTCATACAGTAGCAGAAGCTTTGGAGAACTAAGTTTGGATTAGAGACATTCAGGGGGCTTTAGTATTTGCAAGTTTGGCATGTCTAGGAAAATGTGAGTTTAACACTAGAGGCTGATCAACATGTTTGGAGGCACGAGGCAAGTGGGTACTTCACATCTAAATCGACATATAGAGCTTTCTTCTATGGTTCAATCACTTTTGAACCGTGGAAATGATTGTGGAAATCCTGAGCGCCATCAAATATAAAATATTTTTATGGCTTACCATTTGGAACAAATATTGGACAGTCAGCCGACTAGCAAAAATAGGTCTACCACACCCGGATCAATGTGTTCTATGTATGCTATGTGATTAGCCTTTTTTGACTCATTATGTACAGCAATGCTTCCTTGTCCCAAAGTTGATAAGGGAAGGTTGTTTGTAAGGGACCATTATTTCTTCTCTATATAAAGATGTGCACCTCTCTTTCGTGTTCGAGAAAAAAAAATGATTCAGTGAACAGCGCCACACATTGTATTGAATGCGTGCCATTAAATTTCCATGATAAGTGATTGTTCACTGGTCAAGGTTTTCTTTTTGAAAAAAAAATGGTGAAATCTGAGGCCATATGTATTTCTAGTTCTAGTAAAGAGAAAACTTGTATCATTATATTGATTCTTACACATGCTGAAAGACTGGAATATCTTGAAAATATATACATGATGAGCATTTTTGTTTATCATTTTAGGAGTGAAAAGGTAACCTTTCTATTTGGTGCTATAGGATTGCAAGAAGAGATATGGATAAGTCTTTCTAATTTCTAAAGTGCCTCCACCTGATTAGTTGTATACTAATACGATATCTTACATCACACACAGATACTTGCTCAGGTCACAAAAAGAAGATGTTGCTTGGTGAGATGCATTAAGGAGTCAAATGATTGAGGCAAGGACACAAATTTAGTAGGGCCACATCATCATCTTGTGATTTTTCTTAATATAAGTGTGCAGAAGTCATGGTTCATGGAAATAGAACATCAAGGACAATGGTACTTTCCCATTAGAAATCTCTGCGTTGAGCAATGGGGTATACAAAATCATGCAGCAACAAGCAAAGACAACACATTATCAACATTCTAGGAAGAACAATTAGTGAAAACAGAGCACAGGCACAAGAGATGCATTAAGGAGTTTAGGAAGTGTAGTAGTTTAAAGAGTAAATTGCACGGCCGGTCCTTAAAGTATTGGGCTAATTTCGTCTGGGTCCCCAAACTATGAAATCGCACTCTTGGCTCTCCAATCTACTTAATTTGGTCTATGTAGGTCCCAAACAGCCCAGGCGGTGTCAAGCAGTCGACGTGGCTGTCCACGTACGCAGGGGAGGCACGTGAGGCACACGTGACCCTCGGCAGCCACTGGCTTTTTAGCCAAAACCCCCCCGCACGATCTCATCTTCTCCACCTCAGTCCTTTCCTTTCTCTCGGACCTCGACGAAAGGGGGAAAAGGGGCGGAGCGTGGCGACGCCGGCGACTAGTGCTGTTCGCGGAGGCGGCGAGACGCGACTCGACGGCCAAGGGTAGAGGGCCCTCTCTAGCGCGGGCGGGGGGAGATGGCCGCCAAATTGCGTAGTAGATTGGGGACCCAATAGTGCGATTTCATAGTTTGGGGACCCAGACGAAATCAACCCAATACTTTAAAGACCGGCCGTGCAATTTACTCTAGTTTAAATTAGGGAAGGCTGGATAATTACGGCAATGTAATTTCACCAATTTGACCACTATACATTAGACATGAATTGGAAAAAAAATATGAAAACCAATTTTTGAACTAGAAGCATGAATGCTCATACCCTCTTGTAAACTTGTAGCAGAAGGCATAACAAGAACTTATTCCATATTGAAGTGACGGACAACTAGCTGGCGGAACACAATGAACCTTCGATAAACCGTGTTTGAGACCTCTGCTAAACTTAGTACTAATAACTATGGTCATAAAAAGAGTTGCAATAATCCGCATAAGAATAACTACTATATCCCAGGTGTACTCAGTAGAACAAAACAAACATGATGATCAAGTTCCCCTAAATTTCATCTGAAAAGAAAATCAGTAGATTGATGGGTAAAATTCTGCAACAAACTCAAAATCACATATAGGAAGATCTATTTGTAGGCAATTGGAAAAACCTACTACCCCGCAATTCCATCCAAAAGCGACAGGTGAGGTTACTGCCAATTTGGACACGGACAAACAGCAATTTCACCTGAAAGTCTGGGAGCACTACAATACATTCCATCCTAGTCGTCAACCAAAACCAATGCAAAACCCCTCTGAACCCAAGAAACGATCGCTGCAATCCAGCATTCTGCTCTCCCATATGCTCTAGCATCCTCAAATCCGCCTTTTCATTCTATCGCAGTAACAGGTTTCACCGCCATGCTTCAAGAAAAAAAAAAACTCCCCATCTAAACAGTAAAATCCTCCCCTCGGATTGCGTTTCCCACACCCAAAGCGGTACAAGAAACCATCATCGTTTTAACTAAATACTGCAGTGGTTAAACCGTAGGGTAAAAAAAACAGAGAGAGAGAGAATCTTTGCGGAGGTGAGTGTGGACTGTGGAGGCTCACCGGCTGCGACGGGCAGACGTACACCCACCGGCCGCGCTGCTCGTCCCGCTTCAACGCGCAGCGGCCTCGCCCGCAGACGCACAGCGGGGCCCGCTCAATGTAATCCACGGCGCGGATGAAGTCGGCGTCAAAGTGCAGGTCGCCGCCGGAGCTGGCGTCGGCGAAGTCGAACCGCCGCCTCAGTGGGGCGCCGTGGATGGCCGACGCCGGTGCCGGATGAGGGGGAGGGGAAGGAGGCGGGGTGGGAGGGTCGCAGGAGCTGACGCTCTCCGCCGGGTAGGTGCCGGCGGTGGTGCTGCTCATTGCCGCGTCGCCGTGGGCTTGCTCTCTCCCTTGCGCTGCAGCGGATGATCTCTTTTGTTGCCGTTGCAAATGGGAAGTGGGAAACTCTTCTCTTATGTTGCCGTTGCAAATGGACAGAAACGCTAGTATAAAAAATAGTACTCCCTCTATCCAAATTGTAAGTCATTCTAAGAATTTTGAAGTCAAACTTTTTTAAGTTTAACTAAAATTATAGAGAGAAACACAAAAATTGATCCGCTGGGAGTAGTAAAATATACTTTCCCAAGTGTATATGGTAGGCTTTTTATTTCCTAAATGAAAGTACCAAATTGTGTTGCAAAGAAATAATGATACTCGTGATGTGATGATGATTTGCGTGTGAAGTGGCGTGTATTTACAATTTTCCATGGCCTAGTAGAAAAGAAAGGATACATTAAGTGGCGTGTATTTGCAATTTTCGCTAACGACCATGTTTGGGTGAAGAAAATTGGAATACAAAGGATGGGCTGGACTCATAGCCTGTTCGGGAGACCGTATCGTATCGTGGATTATTTACTGCTGGCTGGTTTGGTGTGAGAGAAAAACACTGTTCCTGGCTGAAAATTTACGATCGTTTACGAGCAAGCGAACAGGCTATCAGTGGCGGAACTAGGGGGTGGCCAGCAGGGGCCAAGGCCCCCCTAACACCATGCAAATTTTTTAATCCTATTTGGACTCTAAAGAAGATACATAGGCAACAAAGTAGATGCAATTATAATCTTACTACCTTTAAGAATCAAAATCTGAAGCTATGCTAATTTCTCTCTATTTTCATACTAGTTATCTTTGAGAATCTTAAAGTTGTAGTGGCTTGTTGAAGTGGCAAATCCTTTGGGCGGGGCCGGCTCGGCTGCACTTCTTGGAAAGGTTGCAGCTACAGTAGCGCTATAAGTCAGGCAAACTAGTTTGAGCGTGCTATATCTTCTTTTGGTGTTTATTCCCCTCCTACTATTGCTACAACTACAAATAATGTAGATGTATAGTACTCCCTTTACTCAAATTTGTACGTCGTTTTTACTTTTGATTTGTATGTTTTATTGTGTATGTAGGCATAGGTGTATGTCTAGATGCATATAAAAATATGTACCTAGAAATGCTAAAATAACTTATGATTTAGAATAGAGGGATACTTAATTGAGCGACAAAACTATAATCCATGATAGGATATTCGTAGACCATATTTTAATAACCCTTTTGGCCAAGGTCGTGCTCGATAGTTGCTGAGCCGGAACTACGAGAAAACATAAAATGACACGAGACATGAAGAGTCTGGGTGATAGCCAAATTTTGATTATCAAAACTTAGGTATGTCAAAATTTTAGTAGTCATTTTGTTTGCTAGCAAACTTGATCAATATCTCACAATTAGAATGCCAAATCTATGGCTAAAAATTGTCCTAATTTTGGCAACTTTTTCTTATCAAATCTTTGGCATGTCAACTTTTAGTAGCCAACCAATCAAGCCCGAAAATGTTGTATTACCCTCAGGTCACACTCCCACCTAGTACAGTATGCTCACTCTATCCCTAAATAATTATTGTTCACGCTTTCCAAAAAATTACTTTGACTAATTTTATATACAAATATCAATATTTGTGATACATAATTAATATCATTAGATATATTATTGATCTATCTTCATAATAAATTTATTTAGAAATATAAATATTACACGTATTTTCTACATATTTAGTTAAATTTATGTCACAATAAAGAAACAACAGTTTAGGAACGGACGGAGTAGATATAACCTCTGCCGTCCTGAAAAGCGCACGCAATGGTCATCTCAAGTTTGCCACTGCCGCCCGCATCCGTCCCATCATGAGCAGTGCAGGTCTCGGGTCAAGTGTCCTTTGTTTTTAGTCCTTTCTTTCTTGTCAGTAGACAGTAGTGCCGCGATCTTTTTTTTTAATTATGTATTTCGCATCGAAACGAATCAATCTTTTATATTTGGCACTAAATTTTTTTTTAACTTTTGTATTTGACACAAAGTTGAAATTTTCTTCCCTAAATAGCACTGTCGTCCATCTGGGTCAGTAACAGCGTCAAATGGCCGGTAAAATGACATGGATGCCTTTCTTTATAGTAGAAATACATGATGCTAAATAGAGAAATAATAGATGGACAGGTTGTCAAATAAGAAAATTATAAATATCACAAATATATTGTGAACTAAAACATGAGATTTTGATAATCGAAGTCTGCAATGAGAGCTTCAGCAGCTGGACTATGCATGTTCTTCCTACTGTAGTCCTTTGCTTTCATACTAATGAACAGTGGAGTAAAAAAGATCATGATACAAACACTCGATAACTCTGCTCATGTGTATGTTCCAAATCAAGCAGCCAAGCCCCACCTCCTTATCAATAGCCAAAAAGAAAACCCATGGAATTCCATGGCCCGATGATCCATCAATCAACTCCCATATTCTCACTGGAGTCCCATCGATCAATTTTACTATGATGAGTTCAGTAGCACGAAGAAGACGAGGAACATGTTCAGAAGATTGATCGACTGGTTTCAATGTCATCATCATCGTGACATGAACAGAAATCTCATTCCAGGGCTTGAATCCTTGCCCTGCCACTACTTTAGTTTGGTAGGAATAGAACAATTTCCTTGTTACTGCTTCCAGATCACCACCACCACTGATTAGCCGTCGAACTGAAGGTAAGCATTGGGGCGTCCAAGTCCATGGGGGCTTCCAAGGAAAACAGAAATACCAAATCATCCAATAACCATCAACCATACTGAAGAACAACCAAGGCAGCAGAGTCAAAATATGCATGTCGCTCAATAGCAGAAGTAGCAGAGGTGGAGGCCCTGGTTGACGCTGGAAAAGCACTAGACATTCAAAAGCTTCATCAATATCCCTTAGCCGATTACCTTCAAGCAAGAAACACCGACACTTGCCACCACACTTCCACTGTACTAGCTCTGGAATCAGTGCATAGCCAACCATACTCACTGATAGCACCAATACATGTCAGAAGCTCCTTGTTGAACTTGTCTACTTGCCCTGCAGGTTTGAGTAATTCATGGCAATGCTGCCCACATTGGACCACACGCTCAATAATTTTCCATTTAAAATACTTGTGTGGTAAAGCTGGCTCTGTGAGCTGCCAAAATTGACTGAAACACAACTGATGAGTATTCAACAAGAGCCCCCCTAATACTGTGTTACTGACACTCAACTCAAACACCCCCAAAAAATCAGCTGCACATGAGGAATGTTGTATTCCCTTACCAAATAGTTGGAACCAGGTACTTTCTGTAACAGGGGCAAGCACTATACTAGCACCATTATGTAAGAGAAAATTCATCTTACGTACAGTCCCACAAACACATGCAGGTAGTGGCCAATGGACCTTGAACCAGATACAGTCCCAGTTCATCACCAGCATCCTGACTCTTCTAGCTGTAATGAGATGCAAACGAAAGAGAGGTCCCGCAACTGTGCACTCTGAATTGTAGCAAAGCCACTTGATAAGGTCTGCCACTTGAACTGTATTACCAATGAAAGATGGCCAGGGTGTTAGCCTAAGTTGAACTCCATTGCCCTGCATCCCAAACTGCTCCAGTGGTGGCCATGGTTGCCTATGCGGCACTGCATCCCAGCTACGACAGGATGGAGGCGAGAAACAGCTCTGTATGCTCTTGTCTAGGGATGAAAAAGTCGGATCGAGATATATCTTCTTTCGGTGGATATCACTGATATTACATTTGTTTTTTATATTTCGTCGTTTTTTTTTTTGATTTGTATGTTTTATTCGGTATTGAATACGGATAGTGTCAACTATGTCGGATAGGATATGATTTAATATCGACATCATAAATATACTTTTGAGTATTCGGATACGGATACGGTGTCGGATGTTGAATACTCTGACTCGGATATGGACAGATCTGAACCCCTCTAAACGGATTCGGTCTCGAATACGGTTGGAAAATATCCGTACCATTTTCACCCCTACTCTTGTCAACCAAGGATTGAGCTGAGGGTACACAGTCAGTACATAGCATGTTTGACATATGCACCTGATCTGGCCTGGGGAGGTATGCCTCTCAAAATTTTGGCCGGAGCCACCACCGCCGCCATCAAACTTGACCAATATCTCACACCGTACAGTATACTCAACTCTGCTCTAAATAATGAGGTCGCCCTCACGCATCTTAAAAATACTTTGACTAATTTTATATAAAAATATCATCCTTTGCTCCATCATCCTCTCCTCCTCCTTCCATCAATCTAGGGTTTGGTGTTTTTTCAAGAAGGTCACGGACTCACGGGGAGAGATAAATGCGCTCGGCCGCTAAGTCCAGGGAGAAATTGGATGCGTGAGTAACAGAGGGTATGTTGATCACATTAAGAAAAAACTGACACGGATGGAGTCAAAATAACTAACAGATGAATTGATAAAATGGACGGTAGTGCCATATAGGAAATGAAATTTTAACTTGGTGCCAGATAAGAAAGTTTAAATTTTTAAGTGCCAAATACGAAAGACTGATTTGTTTCGATGTCAAATACATAATTCTCTCTTTCTTTTTTCCCTCACCTCTGCCGGCTAGATTGAACAAGCCAAGCAGAGCTAGACAGTGATCCTCCATGGGGAACACCCTCAAGTGCTTCAGGGGAGAAGGAGGCCAAGTGGCGTACCACTTCCAGCTGCAGGATACTGCAGCGGTGGTGATCCACCCGCCGCTGCTCCTCGGCATCACCAGCAGGGTATAGACCCCCATGACGTCGTAGCCATCTTTACCATGTTCGCTTGATCGTTTTTTTATTTATAAATCGGCTTATGCTATTTTGTTGTGAGAGAAAAACACTATATCATGACTGATAAGCATGGCTGATACGATCAAGCGAACAGGGTGGGCGCCTCCGCCCTGATGCAGGTTCGAATCTAGATCCATGGTAACGGGATACTGCTGCCTGTTAGTAAGACAGGTCCGGTTCGCTTTGCTGAAAAATCATGATTG